CCCCCCTTTCAGAAATTGGGCAATATGTTGACACAGTTGACACAGTAAATTCTGCTTGTCAGCACTATCAAGTAATTCTGGCAGGTTTATCCATGTACATCTGCCATCCTTCATAACTGAGCGGTTTTGATCTGCTTCAGAAATACCTTTCAGTAAACTTGCTAGCAACATGTTAATGCACATTAGCAAGTTCTTTATGCTAACCCGTTCTTTTGTGTTGAGATTCTAAGACTTTTTAAAATTTGTGGTTTACATTTAATTTCTTCATATGAATCTCAAGACAGTCTAAGTAAAAAGAAAAATATTACTTTGTTCACTGCTTAAATTAACATCTGTGATACCTATTTTTTAATTCACGTCTTTTCAGTGATCAAAAATTTTATGCAGAAAATTTCTGTAATCAAGGTTTGTGTTCTGAGTCTGTAATATTTGAAAACCGTTGATACTCAGCTACTGATATATCTAGTTATAAGAAAAGATGTTGAATTTGAAAATGTTTAAGAACATGTATATAAAGCAATATGCTAGATGTCTTCATCCCTAAATTTGAGTAATACAGTAGTGCACCTTGTATGCCAAAAACAATTGGTGTCTGTCCCAAGGAATTGTACAGCAGAACATATCAGAACATTTAAAATATCAGTTGGTAGGAATTCTCTTGGCATCTGCCTTATGATTGATGTTGAAAGACAACTAAAAATGCTTTGAAAGAGACTGTTTTCATATACTTACAGAGGAAAATTGATTGCACTGTATAAAAAAAATTGAAGATACAAAGCTGATAGTTGAAAGGGAAAAGAAAAAAAGCGATTGGTCTGGAATGAAAAGTAATGTAGCAAATAAGAGTTGAAGATAAGATCACAGGGATAGATGTGGAACAGGGCTAGATATGAAATACAGAAATGTGACCAGTTTGTTCTTCTGAATATTCTTTGGCTTCTGAGTGGTTCAGGTAAAGGTCCTCTGTTGTGATTGTCATGTGACAAGCAGTAGTAGTGTGCCATTATGCTACATGATCCTCATTTCTGGCATTTGAGGCTGACATTAACTGATTGTCCCTGGGACCTGGGCAATGGTTTAATTCCTTTTTACAGCAGAGTGGTGGGGTTGAAGACAGCTATTGTCATCTTGTGCTTCTGAGCTGCTCCCAGAATTCTCTTTTCCTTCATTTCCCTCAGGTAAATTTTGTATTGCTTTTGGCCATATGAAGATATTGGTACACAGTTTGTGGGGTTAGGAGGATTGATAATGCCTGAAGTAGATGCTTGGAAGCATGGATAAGAAATTCTCTTTACAGTGGAAAAGATAGAGAAGAAATTAAATGTTTGGAGACCAGTA